AGCGAGGCAACTGGGCTCTCCTTGGTCAGGAGACTGGCTCCATGGCCCTGGCTCTGCCTTCTAGGCAATGGTGACTTTGAGTAAGTCCCCTCCCCGGTCCCACTTTCCTCATCTGGGAAATAAGGTACCAGAAACCGTATTTCCTGAGGGCTTTCAGTTAGGAGCCAGATGAGCTAATGTAGACAGAAAAGCAAAAACATCTTTCCAGTCTTCCAGCCTCCCCAGCCCTGCCCCTTCCAGCACCAGCCTGGTGAAAGTGGTGCCTCCTGGTCACAGCTGCTACATATTAACTTACCTGCCTCCTGGGAAATTCCTCACTTTGGAGGCAGGAAGGAAGGAGGAGCTCTGCTTCCCAGTCTGGGACACCATTAACTCTTTAGGAATTGCAGGAAGCCTGATAAAGTCCCTCCCAAAATGATATAGATGGGAAACTGAGTGGGGGGAGGGGAGAGGTGACTAGCCCAAGGTGACACAGCAAGGCAAGGACAGAGACAGGATTGGAAACTGCATTTCCTGACTCCTAGATTGGCCTGGGTAATACTGAGAAAGACAAGGCAATGACAAGAGAAACAGAGAGGAAGAGAGGGAGGCATATGAGAGGATCCTGGAGGAAGAGCTCCAGGATTTGGTGACAGAGCAGGGAGAGAGTCAAGGCAGATGCCTAAGGTCTGGCTTGCGTGGCTGAGAGGACAGCAGCAATCATGTACTGAGAGAGGGTCCAGTAATGATAATAATACCAACCAACCAACCAACTAGTTGCCATCAAGTCGATTCCAGCTAATGACAACCCCATATGTGTCAGAGTAGAACTGTGCTCCATAAGGTTTTCAATGGCTGATTTTTTGGGAGTATATCACCAGGCCTTTCTTCTGAGGCACCTCTGAGTGGACTCGAACTGTCTGACATTTATTGATTCATTAGTTCAGTCAACAAATATCTACTGAGGGTCTTCCATGAGCCAGGCACCATGTCTAGGTTTTAGGGATACAACTGTGAAGGAAGGAAACAAAAAATCCCCGCCCTAGTAGAGCTTACTTTCTGTTGGGGAGAAACAAACAAACAAATTTTCAAAAACACACATAAAATGTAGAACATGTTAACTGGTGACAACTGTTATGAAAAAAGTAATAAAGCTGGAAGGAGGCTCGAGTGCAGGGAAACGCTGGTAGGATTCAGTTTTAAGCAGGGTGGCCATGGAGGGCCTCATGAAGAGGGTGACATTAGAGCAAAGACTCGATGGTGGTGAGGAGCGAGCCCGGTGGGGAGAGCTTCCTGCAGACAAGGGCAAGCGCAAAAATCCAAGTGGGAATGACTGGAGCAAGAGAGTGAGGAGGGGGAGGGAGGTAGGGAACCCAGTGGTGAGGAGGGAGGGCAGACCTTTGTAAGGGCTTTCATTATTCAAAGTGAACCGGAAACCACACAAGTTTCTGTTCCCAGGACAGAGGGACGTGATCCGACCTGGGTGTGAACCAGCTCACTCCGGCCGGGCCTGTTGAGCTGAGGAGAGACTTCAGGGGGCACAGGCAGAAGCAGGGAGACCAGATGGGTGGCTACCATGATGATCCTGGCCCGGGGGATGGGGGCTGGGGCCTGGTGGTGAGATGCGGTCAGATTCTGAATGTGTTTTGAAGGAGGAGCTTATTGGATGTTAGTGTGAGGGAAACAGAGAAATCCATAATAACTACAAGATTTTTGCCCCAAGCAACTGAAAGGATAGAGTTGTCATTAATAGATGTGGAGAAGCAAGCTTGGTTTTGGAGGAGTAAAATTTGCCACTTGCCCCAGGAATGAAAGCCAGTGTCTTTAGCACCGGACCCTGCTGTAAGCCTCTCCCTCAGGCTTCTTCAATGTGTGTGTGTGTGTGTGTGTGTGTGTGTGTGTGTGTTGTGGGGGTGGGGGGAGCAGGCCGTTTTTATGAAGCTCACAGGGATCTGCAACAAGGATAAGCCAGGATAAGGGCCCAATTCTGCCGCTGAGCAGACTGAGCTTTGAATTCAACATGTGACCTGGCTTTGAATCCCTGCTTGCTATGTGACCCTGCGCAGGTTACTTACCTTCTCTGAGCTGGTTTTTCTCAGGTATGAAATGGGGTGGTATGGAGAGGTAGCATAGCTGAGTGTGGCTGGACAGAAAACAGACATTTCTGCCACATTTAGAAAATAAGGGAGGTACCCAGCTGCCTGTCACAGGAGGTATGGGGCAGAGGCTGGATGTGCACGTGGTGCGGGAGGGTTACCTCGCTAATCAAACCTGACCGTCACTGCTTACTTAAGAGACAGCTGGCTGGGCTGAGGTCTGCGTTTATTATCTGACCCATTAGCCCTAAGCCTGCTGAGTAAGAATTCAAATGTCAGCTGCTATCACCTCATTTAATCTTCACAATAACTCTCAGAGGTAGGGGCTGGTGCCACTGTAATTCCCAATTCCCATTTTAGAAATGAGGAAACTGAGGCAGAGAGAGCTAAAGTAGTTTGTCCAAGGTCACTGAACTGGTATGCAGTAGAGTCCATGCACAGGTGGTCTGAATTCAGCGTCCATTTTCTGTTGGTTATAACCTCAGTGTGTGACCTTGGACTAGGCCTGTGTCCAACTCAGGGCCTCGATTTTCTTGTCTGTATCACAGAAGAGTACTAGTGGCGCAATGATCAAGTGCTCAGCTGCTAACGGTAAGGTTGGCAGTTCAAACCGCCAGCTGCTCTCAGGAAGAAAGATGTGGTAGTCTCCTTCTGTAAAAATGACAGCCTTGGGAACCCTCTGGGGCAGTTCTGCTCTGTCCTATAGGGTCACTGTGAGTCAGAATTGACTTGATGGCAACGAATTTGTTTTTGTTTTTGTTTTACCACAAAATATTCCAGCTGACCGCCAGCACTAACTGCCAGCCATGTGAATGTGCCATCTTGGATGTCGAGCTCCCTGATCACTGCAGCCCACCGACATCACGTGGGGCAGAAGAACCACCCAGCTGGGCCCAGGCACCCATAGAATCATGAGGTATAAGAAAA